ATTTCCAGCTAGAGAAGGACACAGGGTGAAATAGACTTTGTGATCAACTTCTCTGGGAACAAACGATGAGCTACTTGTCACACTTCAGGTAGAAGGCCCTATCTTGCTGACATCCCCTCAAGAGCTCCAGGTCTCCAAGAACCCTCTGCTGAAGCTGTGTGGAGGGGCTTTGATTATTTCTTCACACTAAGTGTTTTCTGTGTGGGGAAAGTTAGCAGCTTTTCATGTAGGGAAGCTGAGGGGGCAATCTCTAGGGTGATACCATGGGCTTGGTGGAACCCAGAATTGTCTCAAAGAGCAGGGCTTCCTGCAGTGGTTCTGGCAGGCTTGCATCATGTGAAACTACTGTCTCATCTCTAGACACCTCCTAATGCCAGAGCAGATGTGGGGTATTCCAGGCCTGACTGAAAAGGCAGTAAGATTCTGAAATCCATAGAGATCAGAAAGCCACTGATTGAGTGAGGGAAGAGCATCTTGGGTAGGTCTTAGGGGACAGTTTTCCAGTCTGGCTCTGTCAGTGGATGTGGAAACATGAGTAAGTCACTGGGCTTCTCCCTGCCTCACAATCATAATCCCTGCTCCTTCCTACCTCCTGGGCTGGCACAAGAACAGAGGGTTCTGGATTCCCTCCATCGGGGCTGTACTGTAATAACAACAATTATTTTGAGCCTTAGGTATATACTTCTGGCTCAAGATGGACTAGATGACGGCTCTCAAGCTTTATTGTGCCTAGGATTTAGTAGGTCTGGGTGGAGCTGGAGAATTTGCATTTCTTACAAGCTCCCTGAGGGTGTTGATGCTGCTGGTCCCTGGATCAGAACTGGAGGAGAGGAGACTTTGTAATCCTACCTATATCTAGGGTTCTTGGCCACACCCCAGAAAGTCTTTAGTCATCAGAGTGAAGGTGGGTGTGAGGGAACTGGTTCTTACCATGTGCCAGGTGCTTTCCATAAGGTGTCTAATTCCTACCCCACACCAACTTAGGAGGCCTTCACTTTTCTCAGTGAACAGACAAAAACCCCGAGGCTCAGGAGTCAAAGCTTGCCCAATGTCGTATAGCAAGTGCCAGAATCAAGATTTAGACCCTGGTCTTTCTGACTCCAATGCCAGTGGGTGTTTCCTGCACGATAATATAGCTCTCAAATGATCTAAAAACCACCACAGACCTGTTAAAAATACAGGTTTCTGAGCCCTCCCTGATGGTGCAGCCAGTTAAAGCACAGCACTAAGAAGCTAAAGCCACTCAGTATGAGTTCGATCCCCAACCCGGAGGTGACCCAGATGGTGCGGTAGACCTCTCCTGACCTGCCCGCTGCTCCCCTCAGTGGTGTACTTCATCATCAGTTGGTCTGTTCTGCTCCCCACTCTGTCTTTGGTGACTCCTCTCTGGCCTGTACCCCAGTTCTTTATGCATAAATCAATAAGTCTTTAAAATATATATATAGGTTTCTGGGCTTTGGTCTTAAATTCTAACTCAGTAGGCCTGGATAAGTCAGAGTAGCAGCATTTGAAAAAGCCACAGCAGGTGATTTCAAAGGTGAGCATCTGCAAAACGCACCTTGGGAAAGGGAGAACTCACTTGCCTCACCTAGCCCATCAGGTTCCAAAGCTTTGGTTGGTCCAAATGTAACTCTCAGACTTCAGCATACATCAGTCACCGGAGAGATTGTTAAAACACATTCCTGGGGCCCGCTCCCCATGTTTCTGATTCCACAGATCTGAGGGGGCCTAAGGGTTTGTGTTCCTAGTAAACCCCAGCTCCTGCTGCGAGTCTGGAACTGCACTTTGGGAACCGTGTCCCAGGAGCTCTGTCACGGGGTGTGTGTGTGGGGGTGTCCAGTAGCATCAGCGTCCCCTGAAGGTTTAACATAGCGTCTCAGACCTCATGTCACTCCTACTCATCCAGAATCTGCATTTGAACAGGATTCACGTGCACTTACAGTTGGAGGAGCTGGAATGGGAAAACACTGGGGGTGGAAGTAGACGAAGAATCTCTCTTCTTGCTGTAGATTCTGAAGGTGCAACAGGCAGAGCTTAGGAGATGCACTCAGTCTCAGAGGAGACCGACAGCGACAGCTGAGCAATGGGACTGGGGAAGGACAGAGGAGCCGGCTGCAGGGAAAGCGAGAGACCAGCAAGTGCTAAGGGAGCAGGCGTGTCCGTGGCCCATTAGTCAGCGGGAGGGCATTGTTTGAATGCGCAGTAGTGGGCAGGGGAGCACTGCTTTAAAGACTGGCAGAGAAACATGCATCTGAAGAAACCGTTTGCTGCGTAGTTGGGAGGGCGCAGCTGAGGTGAGAACGCCAGAGTCTGCAGGGGACGCGCCAAGGCCAGCTTCAACTTTGCCCTGCCGTGCTGGCCGAGCTATGCAGGGAAGGGGCCACCCGCCTCTCAGGGCACAGGGCACGGCCGTGGTCCAAAGGCCGACACCGTGGAAGCTCGGGGTATGCGGAGTGGAAAGGAAAAGGAACAGATTTTACCAGAAGCCCTCTGGGCTGTTCATCTTTTCTCTCTCTAAAAATAAGGGGGTAAGGGATTACAAATGAGATGGGAAAATGCACAAAATGATGTAAAAAAAAAAAAGATTTAAAAAAAAGACAAAGAAAAAAGGGGGTAGGGTGGGTGGAAGAGGAAAGTCCCCCAGAAGGCATTTTACTCACAGAGATGTTAAAGCAAGTTTTGTCCAGTGGCCTATAGGGTCTAAAGTGCAAGATGCTGGGATAGAGGGCATTGTGAGCCCCCAGAGTTCCTCAGCCCGGGTCCCTCGCCACAACTAAGTGAGGAAAGAGGGAGAAGGACTCGACTCAGCCCTAGCCCCCAGGGAGTTGCTCGTCAGTTCTGCCTCCTCTTCCAGCAACCTGCAGTCATTGTTGGGGACAGGCCCCCGTTTGGGGAACTCCTCCCAAGCTGAGCAGTATAGCGTGAAGACTCCTAGGCTTCGCTAATACACAGCTCTCTTCATCCCCCCAGACACTGTGCAGGGATAGCAAGGCTCTGGCGTCCAGCAGGCTGTTGCAGTCTCTACTTGCTGTGCTGACCTAGGGCTGCCTCTCTGAGTCTCTGCTTCCTGCCACTAAGCCCTGTAAGACTGGGTACCATATGTCTTTCTTCGCCATTCTCTCTGTACCTCCTTCGGGGCAGGGCACAGACTAAGTCCCCATGGGTGTTTGTGAAGCAAAGCAAACACATCCTCCTACCCGCTTCCCCGCCCTGTGATCACTTCGCACACAGCATGCCGGGGCGAGGCTGGCTGGGCTAGAGTGAGGTTGTGCTGGGCTTCTTATCAAATGAACACCGCTCCTGCTTCTCTGGAAGTCCTGATTGTCTTCTGTGCCAGGTATTGGGGAGAAGCAAATTCCTGATGACTGCTTGTCTAGGGAGGAGGTGAACACGAATCTGCCCCCTACCCTCAGCACTGCGCATGCCCCCTCCTTCCTCACCCTCCTTTTCACTTTCTCGCACACTTGGAATAGTGCTGCCAGACATTGCCCATTAGGAAAAGTACAGCTCAATAGGCATGAATCAGCCGGGGCAGGCACAAATGATTCACATCCAGCCATCTTGATTTTGTTCAGGTTGCCGTGCTGAGACTTTCTCTCCTTTCCAACTAAATGGTGACTGGTCTCTGATGGGAGGGAAATGACTGAATTTAATCTGTCTGTATTTGTGAAAAGCTGGGGACAGAGGGGTAAGGGGAGGAGAATTCCTGTTGGCAAAGAAGCCATGCCCAGGTGGCTGGTGATGGCAGTGACGCTGGAATTGGGGTTTCTGGCACCTTTGAGGGCTTCAGGGCCGTACTGTGCAGCCTGGAGACTTCGGTCCCCCCTCCGCCCCCAACACCAGCTAATGGGGCCTCACCCTGACTTGTCTCCAGGGTATGCTTGAAGCCTGAAGCTTAATTAACCTACTAGACACAGCTCTTGAACTACTGGGCTCGGTGCCTGAGCACAGTTGGGGCTGGGGAGAGGCACAGGCATGAAAACATCTCCCCTGGTCTTTCCATCATCACTCAGGTGCAGACCTGTGTCCTGGCTTCTCTTGCTGAGATTTCTCCAAGCAGGTTTCTGCTCTGGTTGCTTTACTCAGCCTGGCATCTCCTGTGTCTGGCATCTTTATCCCTCAAGCCCTTGGGCAGAGGCCTGTCTCCCGCTCCCTCCCCCAGTGGAAGGCCTCACCCAGTCAAGGACAGTCACTTGCCAGCACCACTAGGAATCATTAATGCTGCACCCACGAGGTGCCCGGCACCTTGTTGCCTTTGGTCTTAGTGACCCTCTGAGATGACTGACAATTTCCTCATTTTGCTGATGCAGAAATGGAGGTTCAGAGGAGCAAGTGTCCAGAGTCAAGTCTCTGAGTGAAGGACATGGCCAGAGCAGAAGTCACACTCATGATTCCAAGGCCCATGCTCCTTCCAATAAACACCTCCTATGGTCAACAGGGGCTCGTAGATAGCAGCCCTCTGGGCCTTCTCAGTGGGCCTTGGCTAGGGCTGAGCCATCACACACAGCATGAGACTGAAACGGCCCTCCTCTCTCCAGGGCCCAGTGCCATCCCCACACTCAGGATAGTGCTGTGACCCCCTCCAGGTTATTAATAAAGCAGAGAGAGAAAAATCCAGGCAAATAAAGTAGATCACTATTCCTAAGGCCTAGCATTCCAGCAGGAGTAATACGGGCCGTTCTCTCTAGAATTATAAATAGGAAAATGTCACACATCTAGGACTAAGAGAGGCAGTGACAAAATAGATCTCCCCATGTTTGTTTTGTCTCCTGTGTCCCCCAAGCTCTTCACTGCTGACAACTCTCAGCTCAAGGAAGCAGGGGAGCCCCATCAAACACCAGCACTTCCTCAGGATCTGCTTTTGGTTCAAGAAGGCCCTTACCGTCATACCATTTTTCCACCAGATTAAATCAAAGGAAATCCCCTCTGGCATGAGCGCCCGGGGCCTTCGCTTCTCATGGGGACCCTTCCTGACTCATTTGCCTCCCTCTTTTCCCCAGGTGTGGACTTCAAGATGAAGACCATCGAGGTAGACGGCATCAAAGTGCGGATACAGATTTGGTGAGCCGGGTAGGAGGCAGGACCCCGGGTGCTTCTCAGCTGCCACCACCACGTGTAAAATCCCAAGGCTTCATCTGGGGTAACTGGCCGCCTCCTGGATGGAGTGCAGAAGTCTCAAAACCCATCCCCTGTTCCTCTGAGCCTTAATCTCCCATCTCTTTCCTAAGAAACAGATGGCAAGTCACCACAAGGCAGGAATTCAAAGGAATTGGCAACAACCCGCTGTGCCTGCGTTTGAAAAGGGCTTTCCCTAGGCTGTTTTAGTAAAAGGCTTTACCCATGCTGCTATGGGGCTGGAAGGCAGGAGGGCTGCAACACCCCATCAATTTGGGTGGAACCTGCTGAGAGTTCCTCTGTACAGCCCAATGCAGTTTCCACAGGCAGCCACAGGGTGGTGCTATGTCTCTCTGGCCTGAGGCTCCTGGACTGTCCTCCAGCGTTTTGAGCTGCCTCCCACTGTCAGAATGGCCTGGGCAGTGATCAGACAACTTGGGCAGTAGCAGTCCTGCCAATCTGGCCATATGGCCAAATTCTAGAGAGCATTGTCCAAGGCCCAGTCACAGGCGTGGTTCCTGGTGCAGACACAGTTGACAAGCCTCCCCTACTCTCTACAGAGGCCTTTTTCCTACAGAGTCAGACATGTTCCAGTCTTTTAGGGGACCAAAGCGTCCCCAGTTTTTCCTTGCAAGGGCACAGTCTCCCAACTCCTACTCCTCCCTGCCCACCTGCTTTCAGAGTCCCTGCTCTCCTAAGGGACTGACTTTCTTCTACAGGGACACAGCAGGGCAGGAGAGATATCAAACCATCACAAAGCAGTACTACCGACGGGCCCAGGTGAGCCACCGTCAGGGTGGGGCATTGCCACCCACACTCCATGGGACTGGGTGTTTGACACACCTGTTTTACTGACCCCCCAAAATAGGGCTCTCAGATTGCCTGCTGGGGGGAGGGAGTCCCAGTGGTAGTCTCTCCATTGTTCGTACCCCTCACCCCCTCACCCCTCCAGCCAAGGCTGAAGATCCAGATCAAAGCATTCGGTGCCTTCCTACTTCAGAGAGCTCTGGATAGACTAGGGAGCAGCCATTTTGGGGGTCTGAGAGGAGACATTTCTGGGTGCTGAGGGATCCTCTTTGGCTAAGCCTTCCTACTTCAGAGAGCTCTGGATAGACTAGGGAGCAGCCATTTTGGGGTCTGAGTGAGAGGAGACATTTCTGGGTGCTGAGGGATCCTCTTTGGCTAAACAGGGAGAAGGGAGCATGGCGCCCAGCATTTGCGGCACCGCCCGGCTCTGGCTTGTGATTTCAGGGCTCCGTGTGCATCTGCTCCCCCCTCTCTCCTCTCTCTCTCAGGGAATATTTTTAGTCTACGACATTAGCAGCGAACGTTCTTACCAGCACATCATGAAGTGGGTCAGTGATGTGGATGAGGTAGGAGATGCCGCCTCACTTTGGGGGTGGGGGAAGTGTACCTCAGAGGGGAAGGTGAAGTGAGGTGGGGAGGGCCGAAGCCTCAGGGTTAACGAGGGAATGCTAGGAGGAAACCTTGCTTTCCTCAGCCCCGATAAAGACCTCTGGGTAAGTAGGACGCGGGGGAGAAGTGGAAATGCCTTGTCTACAGGACTGTTTCTTTCCCAGGAGTGATCAGGTCAGAATATTTCCTTCCTGAAAGCTCAAGATCAGGTGGAATTGCGAGTCTGTGTTCTAGTTATGGTTCTTCCACAGCAGGAACCAGCTATGTGAGCTCAGGTTCCCAGTTCCCCATCTGTAGAGTGAGGGGCTGGACTTGAGCCCGATTGACCTCTCTGGCCCAGGTGACACTTGTCCCAGGAAACATCAGTGCTCCCGGTGTCTCCTACCCTAAACTGCCTCTGTGGCATCACTCTGGCATTCCTGGGGTCAGCTGCTGTACTTGGGGGTACCTGGGGGTACCTGGCACCTCTATCTGTGCATGCACCATCTCTGGGGTTCTCAAGCTGGGTGCTGGGGTGTAGGCCAGTTGGGACTGCATGGTGGGGGTGGGAAGGGAAGTTAGTACTCACTGTCTGTTTTTCCTGTCCTCTGTCCCTAGTACGCACCAGAAGGCGTCCAAAAGATCCTCATAGGAAATAAGGCCGACGAAGAGCAGAAACGGCAGGTGGGAAGAGAACAGGGGCAGCAGGTAGGTGCGAGTGGGATGATCAAGCCATCTTTGGTGTCCCGCTGCCTTGCAGGGCCAATCTGGGGAGCTGGCACTCAGAATCTGTACCTCCCCAGACACCCTCACATAGTACCCTGCAGCTCTGGGTGAGCTGCCGTCCTTGAGTTTGCTTTCTCTCTTTCAAGGACTTTGACTTAAGGTCCATCCTGAAACCAAGACTCTGGGGCAGCACCTCTCCCAGTTCCAGGTCCCCTAACGCTAGAGTCCCCTTTGCTAAAGAGCTCACCCGGTGCCGAGGAAGGCAGCAGGTTGCTGACTTCCACTGGCTTCCAGGCATAGTTAACCTTACGGTCATCCCTGCCCTCCATTCCCCACCCCCATCCTCCTTGGGCCTACAGGGAGGAGGGGGAAGCACAGAGGGAACGTAGAGCATATGGTTGGGGGAGCTTTGGGGGTGTAGTGAGGGTGGGAGGAAGCCGCCAAGGGAGAGTCTCAGCACACAGGGAGACCATCACTGAGGCCAGGAGGGAAGGGGCCTGGGATCGAGCCGAGAGTCTGCACCCACTCCCAGGGATGCAGGAGCTTTCTCTCCCCAGTCAGGAGCATTCCACTGGACATAAAGTAAAATTGATTTTTTTGGTATAAAAAATAATACATGGTCATTGAAAAACTGGAAAGAGAGGGTAGCCTAACTAGAATAATGGTTTTTTTTTTTAAGATTTATTTATTTATTCATATGGAACTGGGGTACAGGCCAGAGATGTGGAGGGTGAGAGGATTCACCAGAGACAGAGGAGTAGAACAGGCAGATCGACAAAGTACACTACTGAGCAGCGGGCGGGTCAGGAGAGGTCTGCCGCGCCATGTGGTCACCTCCGGGGCAGGTGGGAATCCAACTCATGAGGGAATCCAACTCATGCGGAAGTGGCTTTAGCTTCTCAGTGCTGTGCTTTAACCCGCTGGGCCACCAGGGAGGGCCAGAATAATTGTTTTTATTGAGCACTGCCTACGTGGGCCTCGCTGACCCAGCGCTCTGAGCTGTGTGACCGCTCAGTCATTCTACACCCTGGGCTGGTCGACCCTGTCATCCCCCATTACCAGATGATGAAGCTGGGACTTACAGTCACTGTGTTAAGGGGAAGGATGTCCTAAAGGAACTCTGCAGAGTCTTGTGGACTCCACCCCCTACTCCAGTGATTGGAAACTACAACTCCCAGCAGTACCAGGGAGAGAACTGCGGAGACCCAAGGGTGGAGTTAATTAAACAGGAATTCTGGGACATTTGGGGGATAAATAGGGCGCCATTTGGTCTCTCATTCTCTCGCTTGGGAAACAGCTCTCCAGACACCGTGACTGGGGCTTTCAGTTAGTTACCAGAGCTCCAAGTCAGCCCAGCCGGTAAGGTATTCCAGTTGTTGCTTCCTATTCTTTTCCCCTTTTGTAAATAAACCCATTTTGACCCTTTTCTGTGCGCCTGCACTTGAATTTTAAGTTCAGCGGTGAGGCCCCACAGACAGGTGGCCCAGTTCACACTGGGTGCCCTGTAACAACTGGTCCAAGGTCAGGCAGCTCGTCAGTGGACCACCGGGTCTCCTGGGGAGGTGCTTTGCATGCATTTGCCAATCTGCCAAAACACTTCAGCGGTGTCCTCCGATATCAGGCTTGTGACTGTGTATGTGAGGGGCCTTTTAGTGCGCCATCTTCTCCCCCCTCTGCTAGCCTTTGTCTTCGAGCTCCTTGCCTCCTCTGAGAGGTTACTGTCTGTAAGTGCAATGGCAGAAGTATGTGCCAGATGCTGTGGGCACCTTGCTCCCTTTCTGACACCCTTTCAGAAATGCTTTTCTCTTGCAGCTGGCTAAGGAGTATGGCATGGACTTCTATGAAACAAGTGCCTGCACCAACCTTAACATTAAAGAGGTGAGAGCTCTGACGTCCACTAGCCCTGTGCCTCTGGCTGAGTCAGGCAGAGTGGGGAGGTGAGAGAAGGTGGCAGGTAGGAGCCAAGACAAAATAAGCTCTCCCCCCCACACACACCCTGAAGCAGATATGGGGAGTCATCAGGGGAAAAGGAGGAGACCCCCAGACTAACCTGTGCCCCTCATTTCACAGTCTTTCACACGACTTACGGAGCTGGTACTACAGGCCCACAGGAAGGAGCTGGATGGTATCCGGACGCGTGCCAGCCATGAGCTGGCCTTGGCAGAGCTGGAGGAGGAGGAGGGCAAACCTGAGGGCCCAGCAAACTCTTCAAAAGCCTGCTGGTGCTGAGGGTCCTGCAAGGAACACCCGCCCCACACCAGCCCCCTCCCGCCAGGAGGCCTGTGGGTAGACAGGAGTCTGGGCCCTGTCCTGCTCCTCCTCTCATTTGGGCGACCCTGTGGATTATCAGCAGCTGCACCCCCTCCTGGCCCTGAATGCAGCTGTGCTGTCATCTCTGAGCAGCCTCTGCCCCAGCCCCTCGCGGGAGTGGCCTCCTTCAGCCGCCCCCAGCACAGGTCTGCTCTGACCCCACACGTGCCATGGCACTGTCTCACCGCCTGAGCTCTCCAGACAACGGCTGAGTCTGGAGTCAAGGCCACCTTAAGGCTCCTTCTTTCTCAGTGCATCTTGTCCCTTCACTTTTCCTCTCTCCTTGCACTTCCCTTTCTCTGGCCCTCCCCCACCAGTGTGTTTTGTATCACAGCCCTTCCCCTCTGTGTCCTGCTGTATGGCTGCTGGTGCAGCTTCTTCCTTTCCTCCTTCCTAACCCTGTCTAAGGGGATGGGCTCCGGCTTGTGGGGATGTTCTAGATTCTGCTCCTGGAAGAACCCCACCCTGCTTTGTAGGGGCGGGGATAGGGAGCTGACTAAGGCTACGGGGTATTTCTTTCTATCCTGCCTTCCCCAGTGGCACCAATGATCTGGGAAAATGGAGCATCAAGGAAGGGAGGAAACACCAACTGGTGGATCTCAGTATAGGGCTGTCCTCCCTCTCCGGGACCCGCCCCCCAGCTCTGGCCTTGCTTGGCTACCTGCTTACCTGCTTCTTGGGGGAACGGACTCAGAGGCAGGTGCTTCTGAGAAGAAAGCTAAATGATGAGGGGTGGCAGGAATAAAAAGTCACCTCCATTCTCTACCTCCCATGCAGCGTGTGCACAGTTTCTCCCCATCTGGGCTCCTGAAAACTTAAAGACACGGGCCAAGGCCTGCGGGCCCTGCAGGAGCAGGGAGCGCCGCGGGCCAGAGATCCTGACAGGTCGCCACACACTGCATGAGGGAGCCTTTGGGAATAAAGGACTATCTCCTATATAGCATATATCAGGTTCAAGAGCAAGGGAGGGCAGGCAAGGACAGCAGCTCACAAACCAGAGGGGAATACGGCAGCAGCAGGACTTCCTGGCCCTGCTTTTTGTTGCTGTATGAAGGAGAGCTGTATCCCACAACCCCCAGACGGTGAGAGGGGATATAGCCATGCCAGTGGCCCTTCACCCAACCCAGCCTTTGGTTCTCAAGGTTTTCCAAGGCGCAAAGTTGTGGGAGAAAGACAGGAGGCCAAGAGAGAACTGGTCAGTGCTGTTCTTTCAGCCTTCAAAATAAGTGCTCTTCTGGCCTCTGAAGAGGAGGCTTGAGGGTTTGCCAACTGCACTGTGGCTATCGATGGAGGGAGCAGACTCCCTCCTCCTGAGCGCTTGTTCAGGTAGAAGTGTCTTTTACCCCATATGGCCTAAGAGTGGCTTCAAGGAACCTTTCAGGAAGGAAGAGTCAGTTGCTAGCTCTAGTCAGATTCCTCCCCACCCTCCTCAGGTGGGCGAGGCCAAGCTAGGTAGGAGGTCACTCCTCAGCTACTTATTAGCTGCACTGCATGGCTGGGCTGCGCTGAACCAGACCTATCCATTGACTGACTATTCACCAACTAAGGACCAAAGCTCACACATGAAAAGGCTTAAGAGCCCCACTTCCCTACTCCAAAAAGGGAGTGAGGGATCAAACCACCAAACCTTTCCTCCTGACTCGTCTAAGTAGGAAACGGCAGGAGAGGATTTAGGACAGCTCAGGATTTAGGAACGAGACTCCTTTAGCCTTGTGAAAGGAAAGGAGAGCAGGGATAGTTTAATCATTGGCTAAGGAGGCTTTTTAGAGAGCTGGCTTCCAAATGAAGTCATGACGATGATTGGGGATGCTTCCTAGAGGTCTGACTGCTTAGAGGTCTGGACGCAAGCAACCCCATGCCCTAGGGGTGGGGAGAGGTGAGGACAGTAGGTGAGGAAGTAGGTGAGCCCTGGGTCTGTCCTCAGCCAGGGGCTGTGAAAGGAGGAGCCATATTGGGCACTGGCTCCAGCCTGGGGGTCAGTGCTACAGCTTTCCCTGCGGGTCAGGTAGAGGGCATTGCCTTTATCTCCTAGCCCCTCAGGTCAGGGAAGATATTCTTACTGTACCCTAGTGGTTCTGGAAGGGAAAACACAGGGTTGGAATTCTATGGCCTAATTAGCCCCACCCACAAGGGCCACTGCTGGGGAAAGGTATGGGAGCAGGAGGAGGGTTGGGGCTTGGGGGCACAACTATGCTTCCCAGGGCCCATAGTCAGTCCCTCACTCCCAAACTTCTCTGGTCCGGGAGGTGACCTGGGCTGCGGCACCAGGCCCGGACTGTTGAGCAGGCATCCTGCCTGCTGCCTGTGCACCACCTCTGCACCTGCTGTCTTGAGACTCGGCCCAGCCCCAGGCCTTCCTGCTCCGGAGCCCCCGCCATCTCCCTGTGATGGGTGAACTCTGTGCTGTGTTTCGGGTCCAGTATACGAATTGTGAACAGGGTTCATCTATTTCAAACACCAATGTTTACAAAATAAAGACTATTTCAAACCACAGGTGTGGCTGCTGGATGAATCTTTGGGACTAGGGCTCTGGCAGTGAAAGGGGAAGAGAGCAGTGTCAGGAGGAAACCTTCCAGAACCCTTCCAGACGCCACCTGCAGGGGAGCCCCGAGTAAAGCCTTTAGTGCTCTGAACTGGACCAACACTGTCGAAATAAGACTGAGCAGAAACATTGGGAGATGTTGATCAGCTGTCCGAGGAAATCTTTAAAACCAAGTTTCTCATCTGTCTGGGGTGGAACTGGCACAGGATTTCTTAAATTCTTGAGGACGGATTCTGGAATCTCAGGGGCCTGGTGGTGGTTCATACTACACCTAGGGTTACAGAATTGATGCAAGAGGCAGAGGATGGGGGTAAGGACAGAGGAAGAAGGAAGGAGCAGGACAAGTTAGGGCTGTGGAGCTGCAGCCTGAGAGCGCCTCCCGCACCCCCTTACTTTACCTCGTTATAGAGTGCTTGTAATGTCCTATTTCCCAAGTCCTAACAATCACATTTTTGTAAGATAAGGAAGGTGATCATTTAAGTTCAACAGATAAGGACACATGATCAAAACATTCAAAGTATGAGCTTAAGGACTTCCAAGGAACCTTAAGAAAAATGAAATAGTGATAAAGCTTTGACATCACTACTCAGAAAAATCTCTATATAAGCAATCCACACTTGCAGTCAAGGTCAAGAATCACCAGCCTAGGCTTTCTGCCTACTGGGCAGGTGCCACTTCCAGAACAACTGCTGTCTCTGTGGTTAAGTTATGGCAATCATATACTTGTTAGTGCAGGGCATGTCCAACATTAGAAGCTTCTGCAAAGCAGGCCAATTTGACATGAAGCTGGAGACAAAGAGGTATTTTAGGAAAATCTCATTGATTTTATTCAGTCATGAAAGGTGAAGGAAAGTGGGGTCAATGGGTCCTGGATTGTACTTAGCAGAAAAGGGCGGGCATACACCTAAGGAAAGGGGAGCCCCCAGTCCTCAGCCTTCCTGGAAAGGGGTTGCAGGAGAGCAGCCAAGAAGAGGTGTCTGGGAACTGAGAGACTGCTGGGGGGGTGGTGCTCTGTGTGCAGATAAATCATATTAAAGTTTAACCCGCTGTCAGGGCCAAGTCCTTCTGACTCAGTGGCTTGGTGGAGAGTTTTATTGGCTATTCCACCCAGTCTCAACAGAAGACCCACTGTTTTCCGCACTTTGTGATATACTTCCTGGCAAAAGATTCCTCTCCTATTTAGGGAATGAAGGTTATTTTTAGGGGGCAGCCAGTTGAGACATGGGTTCCCAGGTGCTATGCAGCCATGAAAGGCTACAAAAGACAGAAGCTGGCAGTTGTTCCTCCATCTTCTCAACAAACCAGATTCTCAAGACCAGCTGCTCCCTGGTCTTGCTTGTTTTTTGCTCTAGGAGGTGCTTCCCAATGGACAGGTGCCTGTGTAAACAATGTAGCGCACATGTGTTACTTTCAAATTTTAACTAAAATTTCAGGGAAAGCCTAATTGCCAGGTTTTTTTTTTTTTAAGATTTATTTATTTGTGCATACAGAACTGGAGTACAGGTGAGAGATGCAGGGAGTTGAGAGGATTTACCAGAGGCAGAGTGGGGAGCAGAACAGGCAGATCGATGAAGGACACTGCTGAGGGGAGCAGTGGGCAGGCCAGGAGAGGTCTGCTGTGCCATGTGGGTCACCTCCGGGGCCGGGGATCAAGCAGCTGTGACTCACTTGTAGTGTTGTGCTTTAACCCGTTGCGACACCAGAGAAGGCCACAATTGCCAGTTTTTACTAATAGAGAAATGCAGGCAGGAAAAGAAAGGCAATCTGTGGAGTCGGTGGGTGCTTGGAAGGATGACATGGGTGTGGGGTCCTCCACGGGTCCTCCATGTCTTGCTGGCCTTGCCAGCATCATGTGTGGTCTAACTGGGCCCAGACACTGCAGCCTTCATACCCTGCATGCTGCCTTCTGGGGGATGATCAGCACAAGACTCCTCCAGGGCGTCTCTGGGGACTAAGCCTTTGTCTGAGTAGAGGTGAGTGTGGCTCATTCCCTCCAACTACAGCCACCTGCTCCGTGACTCCTTCCCACCATTTTCCTGGCCACAATTCTGCCAGGTGACCCTGTGGGGATAAGGTATGGGATACAGTGTAAGAGATGGTCCAGTGTCAGGGCAGATGTGTTTTGCAGGTCAAGAAATATCACTCACTGATTTTTTTGAGACAGACTGCATGGTTTCAGGCTGGTGTAAGCTGAACCACTGACAGCCATTATTTTAGAAAACCATACTGTCCTCCTGGGGTCTCTATGATTCTGTTTTGTAGAGAGTGGCTGTCAAAGGGAAAAATGAAAACATTAATATATCATTTATCTTATCAATCAGTAGCTATGCTTCAGTTGGGTCAAGGGGGCATGCGCCCCATTTTCTTCCTCATTTTCCCCATCTCTGCCGACCCCGCCCTTTCCACTGCACAATTCAGAGCTTGGCACACAGCACTCCATAAATGTCTGTGCCAAGTGAAAGCAACTCGCCGGGGCATGTAGGAGTCAATCCTGCATCTCTCCCTCCCTTTTTTCCTCCCCATTTGACCTTTGGGGCTCTGGTTTCCAGCTAATAGTAAATTATTCATGTCTGCTCTTAGCTATCAAATTGGTCCTTCCCAGGTTGCCAGCAGGGTGGGGCAGGAAGGTGGTTTTGTTCAGGTGTCCTCTGTAAATAGAGGCACAACCTGCTTGTCGAAACTGCCTAGGTGGTGACTGTTTTTGCTAAGTCATCCTAAGGATGTTAGGGGCCCCATCTTGAGGACCTTGGGACCGCCTTCCAGGCTCCTCCTCCCTTCCCACCCTTTTTATAGTCCCTGAAGGGGACGCAGTCACTCTGCCTGGGCTCACTGCTCTCACCATGGCTCACATTGCCAAGTCTTTCTACGACCTCAGTGCTATTAGCCTGCAGGGGGAGAAGGTGGACTTCAATACGTTCCGAGGCAGGGCAGTGCTGATTGAGAACGTGGCCTCCCTCTGAGGCACAACCACTCGGGACTACACGCAACTCAACGAGCTGCAATGCCTCTTCCCCAGGCGCCTGGTGGTTCTTGGCTTCCCTTGCAACCAATTTGGACATCAGGTGAGAGGTCCCTTGGATGGTACCAAAGGAGTGGGGTGTAATGACTCATAGGCCAAGGAGAGAGGGAGGAATGACTATGTGCGTTGCGGTAGGTTCTGGAATCAAGGTCTTGTGGTCTTGCGGTACATGTGAATACCACGGGGAAGTATATGTGATTCTAACACCGAGGGAGTGACTTTTCCTGCTTATCATCTTCCATATTGTCACTATATTCCAGGTCTGTTTTCCTTTCCATTGTGTCCTCAGTGCCTCATGTATAGAACGCACTCATCAAATAATTGTTGAATAAATGCATGGAACAAACAGAAGATCAAGTATCTAAGTGAGATTGAATGGACTGAAGAGACCGAAGTTCTAATTAGATTAGGTTCTGCTGTTGAATAGATCTGGACCTAGGGAGACATTTTCCTGTCTTAGTTTCCTCATCTCTGAACTAGGGAGAATGCCACTCACAGGATTATTGTGAAGGTCAGGAAATAATTTATACAGAAGTAACTTGAAAAATATGAAGTACTATGCAAACGCAAGCAACTTATTATTTAGATGAAAGGATTTTGTTTGCTTTAAATCAACCAAGAGGAGAGTGAATTTGGAGAAGGCTTAGCATTTGCAGTGTGCTCGTGTCTTCTGGCTCTGATTAATGGGGCAAGCTGTTCTAGATCTTCAGCCCACACAGCTCAACTTATCTTTAGGGACTCTTCTACTATCACTTGTGATTTCCATACCAGCAGCATGTCCTCAAGTGAACCTCTAACTATATTCCTTTTAGTTCAATTCATAGCAGCATGAAGGCAAGGCTGAGTGTCATTGGTGGTGGGACCAACCTGAGCCCAAACCGTCACTGCTTTCACTGTACCTTCCCTGCCTCAGTTCTCTTCATAGGTTTGGCCAAGGCAGGAGCGACAAAAAGGACAAAATGTTTTTGGAGGTGTCCCCCAGCCCTAGAGGTGCCACCAGCCTTACCCCAGCTAGTTGCTGGAAGGAATCCATAACCTTCCACTAGCCAGACAGTCATGTGCCTCAAGAGATAAAGAGACCTAATGGAGATCAATACTGGACAGGTGTCACGATGGCCTGGGACTAACTGTACTAATTGGTTCTAATAGGTGAGAGGCAGGAACTTTCTCCCAGAGGAAGATGCCTGATTCTCAGATTGGCAGTGGGGAGATGCCTGATTCTCAGATTGGCAGGGGGGGTAAGACAGGGATGGCAGTGGGTGGTTCAGAGCTAAGGCATTCACAGATAAACACCGTGACTGGGAATGAGTGCAGGAATCTTGGCACACAGTCTAAACATGAAAGGAATGATAATCACACATGCACACCCTTTAGTTTGAAAACATTTATTTCCTTAAGTTACCTTTCCCTTGTGATGCTGGTACATTAAGCCTTCTCTCCTATTGAATTACCCCTGTTGGTCTGTAAGTAATTCCATTCAGAGTATGCTGTTTTCTCTGACTTACTTTGCCTTTTTGACACTTGAAAATAGACTTCTTGGATGGGGGTCTTCTTTAATCAATGCTTCCTCCTTCTTGAACTTAGTTCCAGGGCAAGGCAAGATGAGCAGTTATAAATTCCATTGCTCTAGACTCCAACTCAATTTCACCTTTAGTTTGAGCAGAGGAGGAGCTGAGTAGAGCAGAGGCAAAGGATATACTCAACACTCACATGTAGTTAGAAGCAATGGAGGCTGAGGAAAGGGAAGGTGGTGGCAGGATGTATGTGTGCGGTGTGCATGCGTGCTTACGTGCAGGGTGGAATAGGTAAGTAGAAAGATGTTCTATGAGGCATGACCTGAGCTTCATCTCTCTCTATTTCTACTGCCCTGAACTCAAGGTTCTTTGATGCTTCAGACAGATACCCTGAGGACAATAGGGGTAGATCAGAGACAGACAACAGTGGCTCAAAAGTGCTTTCAATGCTTTCAATGTAAGAGCCAAGATAGGAATTGTAAGATCTTCCAAAAATGATTTAGAAACCCACCACACAATAGCTGTAAGGGGGGACAGCTCCACATCAAGAGTAGGGCAAAGCAAATGAAGGAAGGAGGACAGAGGGTTACAAGGAGAGACCAATAGAGAAGAATGATCCTGGGAAGGGTGGGTTGGAGCAAGAGATCTCCATGTTGTGGACCCTTCACGTCCCCCTTCCCTTTCCTATGTTCTTTGGCTTTTTCCTTCCCAGGAAAACTGTCAGAATGAGGAGATCCTGAACAGTCTCAAGTACGTCCGCCCTGGTGATGGGTTCGAGCCCACCTTTACCCTTCTCCAGAAGTGTGAGGTGAACGGTGAGAGAGAGCACCCAGTCTTCGCCTACCTGAAGGACAAGCTTCCCTACCCGCATGATGACCCATCCTCTCTGATGACCGACCCCAAGTTCATCATTTGGAGTCCAGTGCGCCGCTCAGATGTGGCCTGGAACTTTGAGAAGTTCCTTATCGGGCCAGAGGGAGAGCCCTTCCGACGCTACAGTCGCACCTTCCCAACCATCAACATTGAGCCTGACATCAAGCGCCTCCTCAAAGTTGCCATATAGGCAGGAGCTCAGCACACAGACCTCCTGCTCCATCCAGCCCCCAGTACCTGTCCTGACATTCAGCACATTTTCTTTGAAATCTTGCCTTTCCAGTCTGCCTATTTCCTTTCCCTCCCCCGCCTTCTGGCTGGTGATTCAACCTGGGCCTCCAAAACCTGGAGGGGGCTCTGGGCCTTCACAGAATGATGGCACCTTCCTAAACCTACAGGGATGGTGTCTGAGAAGTGTGAGGGGCTAGAGCAGCCTTCTGGATGAGTCAATAAAAAAGGAAATAGCCAGGTGTGTGTCTTTTTCCTTGACAAAGGGTAGAGGAGTGGTTCACAATGGCAGGTGGGACAGAGGGGCTGGCGGTCTTCATAGGCTGGAGAGGGAGGGAGGTGCTCTGGTGTAGGGGCACCCTATTACTGTTTGGAAAGAGGACTCTGATCTGTGGGGTAGGTGGAGTTGTAGGCAATGTGAATTGTATATTTACTTTATGATTCTTGTCCAGAACTGGGGAAAAGGAGTAATGCGAGGTAAGGAGTGGGCTCTGCAGGGCGGTTAGAGGATTCTAGGCAGGAAGACTTCACTATCACTATGGGACTGGGCCAGACAGGTATCTGCACTTACAGTATTCCTGGGAAGACTAATGGGTTACCATTTAGTGATTAGCAAGAGTTGGAGGCTGCTCTTCCTGGAAACACAAAGAGCACTTTATCCTTTCCTCATTCCTTTGTTGAGTAACATTTACTTTTGATCCTTTACTAGACTGACCCTCCTTCCTTTTTTTTTTTTTTTAAAGATTTGTTTATTTATTTATGCATATAGAACTGGGGTACAAGCCAGAGGTTCAGGGTCAGTGAGAGGATTCACCAGAGACAGAGTGGGGAACAGAACAGGCAGATCAATGAAGTACACTGCTGAGGGGAGCAGCGGGCGAGTCAGGAGAAGTCTGCGGCGCCCTGTGGTCACCTCTGGGGTAGGCGGGGATTGAACGCATGTGGAAGTGGCTTTCGATTCTCAGTGCTGCGCTTTAACACACTGAGCCACCAGGGAGGGCTGACCCTCCTTCCTTCTTAAAATTCGCTTTCTACCTTTCATTTTCTTAAACTTATAAAATTCAGGCACAAGGCAAACAAGCTTAGGCATGAATAATTGGTTTCAATTGTTCTTCTGTGAGGGTGGGGATGGGTGATGGCTCTCTTCAGAAAATCAGAGTCTTTATATTATATGTGCCAATGTGGTAGCCGGTCTCTGTGGGAACAGGGTTCTGCCCAGCGGCTTTGTGAAGATGGTGCCCTGGATTCCTCACTAGCTCAGGCACGCTCACAAAGCCGGTGCCATCCAAGCCAGGTTCTGTCAGGTTTTGTAAAAGTCACTTGTTACAGGACTACAAACATCTTTGTCACACAAATACCTTCCTGGAACTTTCTCCCTTCAACCTTCCTACTTCTCTTCACTGAAGCCCTGAAGGGACAGTTCTCCAAAATGGACACACTTGAGAACCCCAATGCTGTGGGAAAAATGCTTTGTCTATGACATGCCTGGACCTATCTTCTAAACACTTTTATCACCTGAGCATAAATGTGGAGTAGAGTTTAAGGGTTCCTGGATTGATCTTCAACTGAAAGTATGTCAGTGGCATTGCTTTCCTTCAAAAGGGAAACCTGAACATCAAAGAGGGAGTCCCCCAGCATCCTTCTGCAGGGTCTTCTGCTAAATTAAGGCTGCCTTTAAATTTGACTCATGGAAACTCAAGTTTCCCACTCTAAAGCCAATAGTTAGGGTACAAATCTAGGGGTGGGGGAAGGACTAACACTTATTTCAGAGCAGTAACTGCAGAGAAACTGCGCTGCAATTTGAGAAGTTCCTTATGAGGCAGAGACAAAATACATCATTCACATTGGACATTCGTGTGAGTTGCTCAACATCTCCACAGGGCTATAACCTGTGGTAGTGTCCAGTAACAGAGCTAGCTATTCCAGATATTGGCATTATGCCACAAGCAAGTTGGGGCCTGATATACCATACCCTGTTTTGGGTATTCCCATGAACCTCAATTTGGAAGAATTGTTTAAGTACGCCCAAAGGAAAAGGAATTATAGTATAAGTGGTTTTCAGGGAGGGTCTGAAAGGGCAGTAATGCTTGGAAGAGGGCACCTTGTTGGTCAGCAGGACTACAGGAGCTTGTTTTACAAGGACATTTTATACTTGACTGCAATCTTCAGTTGTGCTGTCATGAAAAATAAAAATGAGAAACTTCTTTATTTCTTTTTTGGTTCCCAAACTCTTCAGAAGTATCAGCTTATGGCCCTGTTGGAGAAGGAACAACTTCATATAGTCACCTACTTGTCTAGATCAATGAAATTTTTTAACCAAATTTCACTCAGGAAATAGGGGGAAGCCTCCTAAACAAGCTCTCCCACAAGGGGTGAGATAACGTTCCATTTAGAAGAGGGACAGAAAGAAATACTTCTTTGATATTTCTTACCAAAACTTTAGCTCAGAGTGATTTTAGGGGTTCTAGATACTTAGGCTGAAATTTGTGATTTTCCATCACTGTTCTCACAGCATTATCAGTTTAAGAAACACTGAGCCAAAATACAGAACTTTCTTATAATCACCACAACCATTATCCAAATGACCATTTATTGAAGATTTACCATATTCACACAGTCCTAAGTACTTTATATATACTAGGTTATTTACTCCTCAAATCAACCCTATAAAGAATTTTTCTATCCATTTAAAAACGAGACAACTGAGCAAGACACTGCAAAGGGTGACGGCCAGTATGTAGCAGAGCTGAAAGGTAAACCCAGTGGCTCCAGTGCTTCCTGCCAGCTCTCAGTTGCTTCCCAAAGGCCACTAGCAGTTGACTACACACAGCACTGCACAATAGAAAATGCTTTCATTTACATCATTTAATTTAAAAACTGTTGAGAAGCATGATTATTTTTACCTTTCCACTGAAGAAATCAGACAGAATGACTTGCCAAATGACCCACCATTAGCAAGTAACAAAGCTAACGTAAGCTCGGAATCTTTTGACTTCCTTTCTACTCAACTGTAGCTCACAACAGAGATTTGTACTACAGCCAAGAAACACAATTTAAAATTGAGAGCCTCAGTCAATAACTTAGCCTTACTCACAAAATAGAATTAAACCAAAAGGATGAACATCTACTGCTTAGTGATGACTTGGGAAGTAACAAACCACTTCTGGTTGTGCCTAAAATATATGTCAAATTTAGTAGGTTTCTTTCTCAAACCTATGGCCATTTGAGAAACAGCTAAATCAAAACAACACAATAAACATGCTGAGCTTTTAGAGAGCCTAAGTAGGCATCCTTCAGATCTGTAAATCATGGAGCAAGTTGAGAAAGAGGTGCCAAGACAAGCCCATTGTCCAATCACATCTACAGGTGATTTCTTTTCCGTCCTTTATCTCAAGAAGGGAAGTAAAGACTCATGTTTTTGTCTGGCTCCCCTTTAATTGAATGAAAAATACAGATTCAGTATAATTCAATTCCAGAGGTCTTTATTACACACAAAAGTTCTAGAAGTTAAAGAAAGTATGATACACACAGCACAATGTTGGCTTAATAATTATGAAGTATATGGCTAGGCTCTTAGTGCAATAATACATAGTCCAAAAGAGATAATTACACATTTCTCAATAGATGAAGATATTGGTAGGAGCATATAAAATCGCCCTCATGAGCTCCAAATGACTAAATTGGAAACATTAGCAAACTCCAAGAAGGGACAATTCTGAGGCTGTAATGGGCTTAGTGCTGCTATTTAAAGTAATGAAGCATTTTCTCTGCTTTCTGGATTCATTTCACCAAATGATTTCCTCAGCAGGTCAGATATAGATTTGCAGAAGAGTGGAAAACATTTCCCAGGAAGAAAACAACTGATCCCCAAGGAGCAGCTGACTTAACTTATCAGAATAATAAATCTTGGTCTGACATGTCCAGATTCTTCAGTGCTCTCAATGACATTCTCAACCTCTTCTACCCTTGCCAGACCCCACATTTCATGTTTATTGAACACTACAGCTGAGAAGGCGTCACCATACCAGCTGTATGAACTTCAGTTCGTTTGCTTCTTTGTGCCTTGGTTTATTGGCTCTAAAGTTGGGATAACAATAGCATCTGCTTCATGGAGTTTTTTTTTTAAGATTTGTTTATGCATACAAGAGCTGAGGTGTAGGCCAGAGGTGTTGGGGGCAGGTGAGAGGCTTCACCAGAGACAGAGTGGGGAACTGAACAGGCAGACTGATGAAGCAGCAGGCAAGACAGGAGAGGTCTGCTGCACCATGCTTCATGAAGTTTTTAATAAGGATTAAATAAGTGCTCATAAAGGCCTTGGCACATACTAAAAACTCAATAAACCTCAGCAAGTATTCCTGTTACACAACAAAGATTTTCCCTGGTATCAACAACGGACACTTCACTTTTTTCCATATAAACAAAGCCATATTTAGCTCAATTTCCAAATCTCTTGAAAGTGAAGGGAAAATAATTTTGTTTCTAGTGCTTGACTCTCTAAGTTTTGGTCTCAGAAGAACTACCTAAAGTCACCTCATGGTATATAGAACTTCACATACTTTCCAAACAATTTTACATTCATTATTCATTTGGATCTTCTAACAATTCTGTGAAGGAAATGTGACATCAGCTTTTACTAGCCTGATTTCATCATAGAAATGGGAAATAAAGTCCCTTTGCTTGATGGTTATACTGATATCAAATGGCAGAGAGGCCTAATGTCCCATCTAATGTTTTTACAACTATGTAAAATGAGATGTTCTAAGATCTGTTTGGAACAATTGAAAACATTCTACTTACTTATATTAAAGCGCACACTTTATTCAGACTTCCCCAGTTTTTACTAAGGCCCCTTTCTGTCCCAGGATCCTATCCAGGTATCTCAATACATTTACTTGTTATTTCCTTAGGTTCTTTTTGGCTATGAGAAGTTCTCTGATTTCTTGTCTTCGATGACTGTAAAGGTTTTAAGAACTGGTCAGGTAATGCCCGTCAACTGGGACTTGTCTGATGTTTTTCTCATGATGAGACCACAGTCGTGAATTCTGGGAACATCCAGAGGTAAAGCCATTCTCATCACCTCCCATAAAGGGTACATAATAGGAACAAAGCTTACCTTTGTAGTTGTTATTCTCCAATGCCCTCAATACCCCTCCCTTATCTCATGGCACCTGTTACTATTAATCACCTGGCTGAGCTGGTGGTTATTAAGTTTCCCCACAGTAAGGTTATTTTTATCCTCTTTCCACACTGTACTCTTAGGAAGAAAGGGACAATGCCAAGCCCACACTTAAGGAGTGGAGAGTATTTACATACATTATTTTTAGAATAGAAGATTTATCTATTTGCTCCAATTTAAGTATGTAAGCTAAGAACTCTGGCAGAGGAGCTCAGTTCTAGAGAGAATCCCCAAAATTACTTTTCCTTTCAAAGAATGAGTGAGTCTAAACAGAAATAGAAAAGTAATTTCCATTATAATCTACATAAAACAAGTCATCAGAATTGCTGTATTGTAACCAACACAACAGAATTACAACCGAACTGCAGGATTCTTAGAACAACAGTGTCATTTGTCGGGGGTCATCAGGGAGAATGCTGATAGTATCTTCAGCTTTGCCACATAACAGACACAGCATGGTATACTCCTAGAACAAGATAAAGCGCATAATTACTTCGAGGAATGGGGAGAAAGATGCTTCATAACTTACTCTAGTAAAACGGTTTGTTCTCTACAAGTTGTCACAGATTTGTTTTACACATTAGATCAATTTCTTCAACCTCTACCAGTAATGTTTTAGGTCTATCCCAGGACCTTTCATTTATATAAATTGAATTCATAGTGATGCTCTAAAAACTCAATAAACCTCAGCAAGTATTCCTGTTACACAACAAAGATTTTCCCTGGTATCAACAACGGACACTTCACTTTTTTCCATATAAACAAAGCCATATTTAGCTCAATTTCCAAATCTCTTGAAAGTGAAGGGAAAATAATTTTGTTTCTAGTGCTTGACTCTCTAAGTTTTGGTTTCCACACCTGACATGCATACAAGAATGTCATGTTGGAAATACATGATTATTTCTTGGGGGAAAAACACATAATTTGGGCTTAGCTAATACTTCTAAATTAGGTAATAAAGCAATTTGAGTGCAGGACCATAAAGACAAATTCTTAGAGCTGTTCCTTTCTAGGATGTTTAACACTACCATGCAATAGAAAGGTTCTAAAAACAAAACAAAATGGAGTACATTCTCTAACCCAAAAAGGTATGTTTATCTACTCTAGGAAAGTAAATAAATATGAAAGCCACTGTGTGTCTGACTTATATTTAGATATCTCATTGTCTAGAATTTGATCTATTTAAGTAGTTTTGAGTTTCTTGGAAGGCAACTATGCTCACAATACCACCAATGCCGACAAGTTATGTTTTTTGGACTTAAACATCCAGACTAATGACAGAAGAGATGTTTTAAGCAAAAGTCCTTAGGGAAAAGTCCTATCTTTATAGCTGTCCCTTCCTAGAATATTTAATAGTCATCAACTATAGAAATCTTAAAATTATAATTAAAACCTTTATTTAAAAACCGTTTATCTTCTTCATGAAAACAGACATCTATGTTTAATCTATCAGTATTTCCACACCTGACATTGAGATTGCTAACTGGAAATTGATCAGCCAAGGCAGTTTGTGTTTCTTGAGCTTGAAGCGTCACTAGAGTGCGTCATGGAGATAAACAATGACTATAGTAGAAAGACTCAGAACTAAGTGACTGCCTTTCCATTTCCTACTAGTGAGGTCCGCAGGAGAGCTTAATTGTGGCATAAGGATAGTGCTAACTTTTAAAGTCTACACAGTGGAAATAAACGAAGGCTAGAGCTCAGCAAACAAATACAAGTCTCATGAATTAAAAATAAAATAAAATTCCACCCTCTCCCAGGTCTTCCACTGCTCTTAAATACTTTTGCTTTCATCCAGCAGCTATCACCAACAGGCTAAACCTCTCACTGGAAATGAAGAAATCATGTCAAAATGGGAAAATGTATGAAAAGTAGACAAATATCTGAGTTTCAACCTACCTATCTATTGGCAAGTTTTTATTAAGTGTTTACATGCTCTGTGACATGCTAGATAAACCCGCAGACATGAGGAAAGGTTTGACTTTGCAAAACTTACCTTCTAACTTGGGAGAAAGAAAAAGCCCAACACGTGGTATAATCTGGGAAGATTATTAAATCAGTAAGGCTGGTTACACCTATAATCTTTAATTAATAGGCAGCTTGGAATCCAAATTTCATTGTAGGCTGGCTGTTTGAATTCAAAATTAGTTTCCCACAGAAGGCATTTGTACATGGTAGTTTGGCTCCCAGGGAATTCCAGGCAGTCTTTTAAATTGACATTGTACAAAAGCCACAAACTGATTATACAGAGAAGTGCTTCTGCAGAAAATATGCCTACAATTCTAACATGGGATGTCAGGAACATGATCCCAGGAACATACTCCCTTCTGTTTCCAGGAATATGGCGGGATTAGGATACCGTTTACATTTTAAAACTGGTCAAGTAGAGAGAGCTTGGATCTCCCCTAATTGTTTAAGGAGACTGTCAAAGGCCCCACATGGCGAAGTCTATGGGTAGAGTCTTGGAAGCAAGGGTGAATGGAACGAAAATCCTGTTTCATTAGCAGGGTCCCGTGGTCCTTTTCCTCTATTATTACCTATTAATTCTGACCCCACGTCCTTGCCTTCCATGGTCCACAAAGGACTAGAAAGCAACCTCACAGTTCTCTTCTTTCCTGAGGTAAACACACAGTGATTTTTTAAAGGGTGGTAAGAAAAATAAAGGACACTTGTAATGATTTATAATGTATTTTCTGTTTAAACTCTATACTTGTCTCTATTTTCCCCTCTACTGCTACATCAGAAAATCTTACCTCATTCAACAATGGTATTGTTATCATTTTAAAAACAGAATCCCTCTTTTTTCCTTAGAGATATGTACTCAAAATATTTATAGAGGTAGTGATATGCTTGGGATTTATTTTAAAATATTCCTATGGGGAGAGGTGGAAATGGTGAGGTACAAGAAAGCAAACTGAAGCTTAGAAGTAGATGTTAACACACTATTCTGCCTATGTTTGATTATGTTTAATTATTCCATAAGACTTCTGAGTTAAAGTATTTCGATGGTGGGAATCCCACCTTAACTTGAACTCCTGCTGGAGTAAGAAGTGGGCTGGAGTGGGTAGGGTCAGGGATGGGGGAAAAAAGTGAAGAGGTCTTGTGATTATCACACTGAGATGAGTTCCCAAGAGACCACCTCCAAGAGTCAGTCCTGCCAGAGGAATGTTCAGAAAAGGGACAAAGCAGTATGGGCAGCACAGTCGAGGGCAAAAAGGAGACAGAATTTAAGTTCAATCTGACAAGAGGGGAGATTCAGTTGGCTTTAAGGTAGAGAAAGGAACAAGTCAAGGAACAAAAAGCCATGATATGGAAAAGAGTAAGCACGCTGCAGGTGGCTGAGCAGAGGAGCGAGCGGCAGGTGGCAAGTTTAAGGAAGATTAATTTGAGGGCACGGTACAAAAACCACAGTTGGGGACTGCCTCAGTAATTTAGGCTTGAGTGTTTATGGTCTTATTGTGAGGTGTGGCAGTGGTGAAAAAAAAGGAAGTAAAACAAAGAGAGGCAGGCAGGTGAGACATTAAAACAGAGAAAGTGATCTGGAAGATATGAGGTAGGTTTCAATTAAGACTGAATGTGTGTGTTCCTTATTTGAGGGATTACAGAGACGTTTCAGACTAAAAACCAACATCAGTCAGGGAAAGAAGGAAAGGAAACCAGAGAAAATGCAAAAGAGCAGTCAAAATGACTTAAAAACAGTCGCGCACAGAAGACCTTAGGGGAACAGATGCTTCACAAGGATATAATTATGTATATTAAAAAAAAAATGGGTGCAGCAGGTTAGAATGCTGCACTGGAAAGCTAAGCCAAGTTGTGGCCACTCTGCGAATTTGGTCCTCCCCCCAGAAGTGATCCATATGGTGCAGCAGAGCTCTCCTGCCTCACCCGCTGCTCCCCTCTGCAGTGCACTTCATCAATCTGCCTGTTCTGCACCCTACTCTGTCTCTGTCATCAATCCCCTTGTCTGCACCTCTGGCCTGTACCCCATTTCTGTACTCATATATATAAAAAAATATATTATATTAAAAAATATTTTTAAAAACCCAGAAAAGATGTTAAGAGAGATAGGAACTGAGGCAAGGTCACAGCATTTGATTATGTTATAGGAAACCAATGAGAGACTAGTTTGGTAAAGTGAAATGAAAACCAGTGTGTAGGTGGTTAAGAGGAGCATAGGGAAATAAGGGAAGCACCTATTCAAATTAAGAAGCAAAAAGAAAAGAGATTAGAGGATGGAGTGGAAATGCAGCTGAGTGAAATGAAAGGATTTTATTTTATAACAAGAAGAAAGTATATTTAACATATTTTTAAATCCCATAGAGAAAAAAATTATTTAGAAAGAGACATGTGATATGCATTCCTGAGGAAGGCATAGTAGGGCAGAATTAGTAACCTCAGAAGAAGCATGTGCTGTTCTTTATAAAGATGACAGGACTAAGATATCATTTATAACACACCCATTTTGATTTGTGACTCTTGTGAAGACAGGATTATATACATCGGCCCCCATCAAAATTGTCTTTCTCAACTCACACTGATAAAAGAATGTGATGGTCTCCTTAAATATTCATTAGTACTTCATTCAAGAAAAGCACATACAGATTTTCAGATACTTTTATTACCCTCCTTCCCCACAAAACCACACCCACATTTATACATTTACCTGAAATTCATCCATGATACTGAATGTATACTCATGCCTGGCTACTATATGATGACAATTCTTACACAGATCTGCTGAAACAGAGATACTTAATTATGTCTTGGAATGTATCTTAAGACATTAAAATTTATTTTCTGAGTATATTCCTTTAAAAAGAATCTTAACTTTCATAATGTAACATAACATATAAACCCATTTATAGTATCTACCTTGATAAGAAATCCAGAATCTGGCATATATCAACACCACATAATGAAGGGTCTGATCTCAGAGACCTAATACGTGCATATTAATTCCCACTGAAAGTTCTCTAAAGTAATCAATTAATAGATCTATGTGAGTATTTTAAAACTAGCTGGTCTTACCTATATGAGAGCTTTAACTTTCAAGAATCATAGAAATTATGCTATTAGAATCAATTATAAATTTAAAAAAACTAATGCTAGATATTAAAGTGAATTTAATGGTAACAAAAGATACTAGTATAAACAATATGATAATAATAATTACCATTGGTTAAGTGCTTACTGTACGCCAGATACTGTTTCAAATATTTCTTACCTATCCATTTTATCTTCCCCCAAACCCAATAATGTATATACTATTATTATCACCCTTATAGGGATAAGGAAACAAAGGCATATTATGGTAAAATATTTAAGAAGACTATCTACCAAACTAGGAAACACCAGAATAAGAATTCAAACCCAAGAATCCTAGTTCCAAAGCCCTTGCTTTAACCACTATGCCCTACTACATCCAAGAAAATATAGTTTAAAAGGGTTTATACTAAAAGAAAGAAAAAGACTTTTAATTTAGAGCATTTCCAATAGTCTTACTCTATTTTGAAGGCTTAGTGTCTCTTTCAAATAACTTTCTTTTAAAATAACATTATCTGTACATTTATTCTTCATATATCAAAACAAACCAAGAACTAAGAGCCAAGCAAAAGTGAATATGAAGAGTTTAAATTCCTGTCACAGTATTTGGGCACTAAAGTATACATACATATACTTAATTTACTCAGAAATGCTGAGGCTAACCTCAAATTGATTTATTTTTATTACACAAAGCTTATTTCATTGGTTTCCCAGTATAGAAGATAAGCAGCAGCTTATGAAGTTAGCATACTTACAGCAACAGAAGAAGCAACAGAGATAGGAGACAAATAAAGCTAAAAATGCAGAACAAGACTGAAAACCAAAGCATCCAGAGTGATTTAACACAGAGACAAATAGCCCTAAACACTTCAGTAGCTGGTAGAGGACATCAGAGTGTAACACTATCAGAGAACGTGAAAATCCACATGGATAACCCTAAAGTTAAAAAAAAAAAGTCTCTAGATCTTGTTTCAGAAGGCATAAAGGCATCAGAAATAAACAAACATGCAAAAAAAAAAAAAAAAGGTGACTAAATTATAAACTAAAATTATAAATATTGCAAGTCATTTATATAGAGTATTTGGTGATGCTAGAGAGGTACTGCCTATAGCTTCCTCTTAAAAATCTAACCAGTTACTACACGCTACATTGCAATACTGAACTAAGCAAATAATACTTTGCACAACATATCATTTCCAACTGATACCTGCTAACAGACTCAAAAAGAAAAGTCTACTTACGATCATAGGTAACAATTTCTTCTCCATCCTCTTCTTTCAAAGATTTGTTGGTGATCAGCATAAAGTCCCGCTTATTACATACTGCACAGCCTGTAAAGTTGAGCAAGAAAGACCCATTCTCCAGGCAGATGGTACCCTAGAATATGAAATAGTTTAATTTTCTTACATTTCAAAATCCTTGGTAAAAATGAGTAATAGATTTAAAATACCTAAAGGCAAAAAACATGGCCAATATCATTTGCTCAAAAGCTACATAAAGTAATTTTTGCAACTAGTCATGGTAAATAGAACTGAAGCAGCATTAAGAGCTGAGAGTCTCTGTGGAGGCTGCAACTGTGTTTAAGAGAGAGTACTAAGTGCAAATGAGTATCTAGAAACAATTTAATGAAGCCTTAATTATATAAAATATGAAGAGAAAAATCTAATAGCCACCAATATTACATGAGGAATATCATAAAATGAGAATTAAGATTTAATCAGATGGAAACACTGAGTAATGATAAAAGCAATCTTATATATAATGGTGCTCAGATGATTGTTGAAATAGCATTTTCTCAAATCTTAAAAATACTATAAGACAACCAAACAAAAATAAATTGTCTGCTTTACAGATGTCAGTCCTTAAGGAAATGTGTTATTCAGGCATTCAAAAGAATGGGATTTTGCTTCATCACTAAGAAACTGTAAATGACTTGTGCTTGTAGCTCAAGGGAGGTCTTTCCTTATTAACAATTGCTTAGAATTCACTAATTTTATAAACAATCTATAAATAATTGTTTCACTTCTGACCAAAAACTCGGAATAGTTTTAATAATTAAAACCCAATCAAACCATTTTTCTAGTGCAGCTAAATGCTTGTGCAAAGCACTGGCAGATTTGAGGAATCACATGTTTCTTTCTACCTTCTAGCAGCTTATGATGTATCAGAGGAATTAAGGGCCCACCTTACTGATGCTCCAGTAAAGCCTTCCTGAATCCCCAACACAATTAGTCTCTCCCTTTTGAGTGGCTCCTTAGTACTGTGTTTCATGGAACAGATTAATTCCAGTGGGGGAGCGGGTCCGGCTGGGGATGAAGCTGTCTATATAGTTTGGAGATACTAAATTGTGTGTATATTAGCTTAACTACTAAAGAGAAAAAGAGCCTCAAATTAAGTATAAATTTCTAGCTCTTAAAAACAAGTACTTTTTTTCTAAATAAATGTTTCTGAGGTATAATTTACATATAACAAAATTCATACATTGTTAAGAGTATAGGTGAATAACCTTTTGCATACATACAAATGTAACCATTACTTCAATCAAGATATAAAAATGTCTATCTTTGCAATAAGTTCCTTCATGATTTAGTCTATCTCCTAGCCTTAACTCACCCATTGATCTGATTTTATCTATAAAGATAATTTTTGCCTGTTCTAAAATTTTATATAATCAAACAATATACTCTTCTGCATCCAGTTTCTCTTGTTCAACAATGTCTATATTAATAGTTAATGGTGTTATATATGTTGGTAGTTCCTTGCTTTTTATTGCCATATTTAAAATTTAAACTAGAGAAATGAGTTAAGAAACTAGATTTTTGGCCCCCCCAGTGGCGCAGAAGTTTAAAGCACAGCACTATGAAGCTAAAGCCACTTTAGCATGAGTTCAATCTGTGGCCAGGGAGGTGACCCACACTGCGTGGTACACCTCTCCTGACCTGCCTGCTGCTCTCCTCAGCAGTGCACTTAGTCAATCAACTTGTTCTGCTCCCCACTCTGTCTCTAGTGAATCCTCTCACCCTCCGCATCTCTGGCCTGTACCCCAGTTCTGTATGAATAAATAAATCTTAATAAAAAAAACAAAAAACCAATTTTCTCTATTGTTTTTCTATTTTCCATACTAACTTCTTCTCTAATCTTTATTATTGCCCTTCTGCTTTACTAAGGGTTTAGTTTGCTCTTCTATTTTCACTGTCTCAAACAGAAGACTATTTTTTATCATTGCCCTATTTTAATATAGGCATTTAAAATGAATGTCACTTTAAAGCATTCATTTATATACAGTTTCTTTTAACTAGTTATATATCAGATTTAATATTTAATTAATATAGTTTAATGTTGAACAACAGTCTAAGTACATGAAGTTCAGTAGCTTCATTCAAGTAACATAGATAAAGCATGTAATTTTTAATTTATTTATATCACTAATTCATACTGACCTTTTCCCTATTTAAATTAATGATGTATTTCTGTACTGCAGTACTAAGAAATAAAAAGCAGAAACAAAACCTGTAAGAATATAGGTTTTTATTTCCAGCTTTATATGATAATAGTTTATTAGAATTTTGTACCTGATCAGTAATTTTAGAAAATGCAGTCAAGTTCTTCCAATTGGCTTTCTAGATGCTTTTTTGAAAGACAAAAATTATCTAGACCATAGTTGTGTAAAAAAAACTGGACTTCAGAGTAGTATGGCTCATTTCCAATTTGAATCATGTTTGAGTTCAAGTTCTTGGTATAATATTACACCAAGTAAGTAGGCCAGAGCTCTGTCAGGAATTCAGCACTGTGTTATTTCTAGTCTGTGAAAAACATCTGCCACAAAACTTCAAAATGTTATATTTTATGAGGAAAAAAGTTTAAAGTTTCCTGATATGCTAATACATTGTTGCTGAGTCTTTTTCTTTTTTTTTTTTTTAGGTGAATAGACCATACTTGCTAGTACCATCTTAATACCTTGCCTTTGCTAAACTCAAGCAAAGTAGCTTCTTATTGTCCTTAAAAATATCTCAGGACTTCGGCCCTCCCTGGTGGCTCAGCAGGTTAAAGCACAGCACAAAGAAGCCTAAGCCACTTTCGCATGAGTTTGATCCCCGCCTGCCCTGGAGGTGACCACAAGGCACAGCAGACCTCTCCTGACCCGCCCACTGCTCCCCTCAGCAGTGTACTTCGACGATCTGCCTGTTATGCTCCCCACTGTGTCTCTGGTGAATCCTCTCACCCTCCGCATCTCTGGCCTGTACCCCAGTTCTGTATGAATAAATAAATCTTAAAAAAAAAAAATTTCAGGACTTCAAAGACTCCAGAATTGGAAGGAACCTTAAGATTTCAAATAATCAGTTTGAAAGAGTTCAATTCCTGAAAGGGTTACCCACTACATTTTTGAAAATCTGTTAGAAAGCTTTATTATTTGATTCAAAGCCTACAACCCCATAGCAACCATTTACTATTTCTAAATCTGCCTTCTGCAATTCCAAAGAAAAGTTTGTTTTTCCTTATGACAGCTCTTTAATTATTTTAGAACAAAAGAAAATCAGGAAAAAAATTCCTTATGGAAGATACCTTCCTGCTTTTCCAGTCACCTCAATCCTTTTCTCTACTTTCCCCTGTACTTTACTTTCACTTGAGGTTACTTATTCCTTGAAGCTCACTCTTTGTCTATCTTTATTTCCTAAGAGAATAAATCCTTTCTATTTTGACTTTATTTGGTGACTCATCTGTTTGAGTGGTACCAGAATGGCAATCTTTTATTTTCACTTGATTCCTCCAATTCTACATTCTTAACCTTGAATGAAACAGACCAAAAGCAATCTGACCATTTGCCCTCTCAATTTTGGTTCTTCCTCCTCTATGCCTCTAATTTCTGAAACCACGTTTATAGTTTCCCTGCTGCTCAGATTAAAAATCCTGAGTCCATTTATCGCTTTCCTTTATTTCTTCTCCCACATTAAATTGGCTTACTCCTATTAATTCTTCTTTGCTCTGAGGTCCTCATTATCTCATGCCAACATCATTGTTGCCATGACTCCCCAAATGCTACAAAGTTCTCCTTTTACATTTTTCCCTATCTAATCATCTCAACATTACAGTCAAGATTCATATTACTGAGTAATATATTTCAGAATCATTTCCCTATTCAATATTTTCATGGTTGCTCAGTGCTTAAATGCAAAATCTAAACTTCTCAATATAATTTTTAAGTTTTTTGATTAACTCAAGAGTCCAACTTAATCTCTTCAATACTCTACTGCATACACCTCCTTTACTGTCTCAGAATTGTGTAATATTCATTACTGGATTCATAAAAGTCTTTAAAGTACCAAGTAGAAAATGCAAAAAAGTATGTGAAACATAAACATACAACATAATGTCTCTCTACTTATGTCAGTAATACCCACAGTTGTGACAACCAAAATTATTTCCAAATATTAACAAATGTTTCTAGGGACACAAAATCACTACTCTAGTTCATTCACTTTCATTATTCATTCATTCCTTGTTTCCCTCTCTATGACTATCATATTTTTCAGTCTACAACAGTAATACTATTACTAATATTCTTATGCAAATCTCCAGGAATATAGGTACATGCATTTATTTTTCTAGAATGAGGCATGCTGTCTTCCAGCATGCATAACTTTAATTTTACTTGATAATGCTAAATCTTTCTCCAAAGGGGCTGTACCGTATGAGAATTGATATTATTATATGTAGTTCCTCAAAGACTAACTATAACTCAAACATAAAAGACAGAAGCAACTATAGAGATTTTGTACCTTCCAACAATACAGGAATCCTTGTTATCTCCCCTTCCCTCAACCTGAAAGCCCTCCAACCTGGCCTGCAACTCCTTTTCCACCCAAGTCCCAAATACCCTGAAAGTCCCAAATGAGGTTCCCACTGTTCCTCCCCCCTTTCTCTAAATTTGAATAGCATCTAAAGACTGTTACTCATTCTTTGATAATCACATACTCCCCCCTAAAGTGTTGGCTCATAGCATGAAAGTTGCCTTTATTTCTTCTTCGGCTTCTCTTTCTGGCCCAGCAAAGTAATCTAGCTACACACAAGTAGATGTTGAATGAGTGACAGTAAAAGTTTCCCAACCTCCCGAGCTTAGGAAAAACAGAAACTTAACGAAAGTAAGAACCAGAAAAACTGAATTCAAATTTTGGCGCTCATATTAACTAGAATGTGAAATTCAGCAAGTGATTTCCTTTCTGGGCATTAATTTTTCACCTGCAAAACTGTGGGTAGCGCAAATGACCTCAGAGTCTCATCTAGCGCTAGAATCTTTCAAATCAAACAGGAGGAGACCAGGGACAGGGGTGGGACTGTTCTTCTGCTGTCGACTGGGCTGCTGTTGTTATTGATAGGGCTTCTTTTGTTGTCCCCGGAGTTTAAGAGAGGTGGGGTAACAGCTGATGTCAACCACGAGAGCGGGAACCGAGAGCCGGAGGTAGCCCGCTGTCAAGCACCTAGCCAATTACCGCTACCGGGTCACCGGAGTGGGCGGTGCGGCTCAGCCCGCCCGGCGCCCAGCCTCTCAGGGAAGGCCAGCGGCCGAGAAGCCCCTGAGAAGCTCCAGGGGCCGACCGCAGGCCAAGGGAGGGGGCGGTTCTCGCTCACCCGGTTGGGATATTCCTTCTCCACACAGTCTACGCACATTGCGACGCCCCGAACCGGGAAGGTGCTCCAGCGCTTCCGGGAAGACGAAAGCTCGCGAGAGCTGAGAGTAGGCTGACGCATGCGCCCCAACTACTTGACCCTGGGGGAATTGGGAACAAATCGGCAATCTCCGCCCCCTCTGCACTGTTAGGGCAGGGCCTGACCCGGCAGGCAAGTACCTTGGGCAGGGCTAAGACTTCAGAAATCTTCCAGGAAAGTGGAGGCGCCTGGTCTGACAGAAGTGGCGGCAATGAACTGAGGAGTGTTCCAACAGGCTCCTTCCCGACTTTAAGCGGAGAGGCAAACCACAACCTACACAAAAGAATTGTTTCTCGCTGCCTCAGCTTACCCCACAGATAAAGCTGAAATTGTAGTAATGTAAATATCTCTGCACCATTTCTTAGGAGAGTGAGAGAGATAGGTCAACTCTTGGAAAGTGAATAGGCGAAAGTGAAGTGTACTTGCAAGTTCTACAGAAAATGTCCTAAAAAGAACTGTTAATAACCATCCCAGAGTGCTCTGGAGAACATAGCCATGGGAAACGTGTTTCTGTCGCTGTCGTCACAGAAGCACTTAAGTGGCAGGCAAGTGCTGTATAAATAGGAAATGTCCAGGTCAGTTATCCCTATATAATATCCCAAACCTATAGATCCCAAAATGTGATGGTGCCTGTCTCTTGCTTTCCTCTTCTTTAAAGGCGTCTTATTATTCACAGATATATAATTAACCTTAATCCAAAGCTCTAAAATGTGTCTCTGTGCTTCTGAGCAACCTGTCCTAATCATACCCAGCTACTCTAGTGTATATAATTAATGGGAACATCATCTTCCTTAGACTGCTTTATTGCAGTCACCTCACTAAAGGAACCTCTGTGACTATGGGATCCAGATCTTTAAAGAGGAGATTAATAACCATTTCAAAGCAAGGCAGTTTAATTGGATTTGCTAATAGGGGAATTGTATCTCCACTGAGCGTTGCAATTGTAAACTTTAATATTTCAACCTCTGGTGAGAATCTCCAACAGCTACTAAAAACCAGTAGTGTACTAAAAATCACTGAACAAACAAGTGCCATAAAAGGTAATTCTATTCTTGGAATAATTAGAATATCTCCCTTTTGTATGACATTTTCAACCTTTCAAAGTGTCCTCATTTCAGTTCCTAATTTTATGCTACTATAACCATGTCAGATTGGCATCAAAAGTATGTCTCCTCTTTTCAGGTGAGGAAACCAAGGAAAGAAGTGGGTAAAGTCTTGTCTGTGGTAACAAAAGTACTTAGTAGTAAGTCAGAATGAGGACTCTGTTCTACCTTCGCTTGAATTCTTTCTGGTACAGTAACCAATAGTCACATGTGGCTGTAAAGTATTTTTAATGTGGCAGATTTGAACTGAAATATGTTGTAAGTACATCCTGCACACTAGATTTAGAAGACTTAGTATAAAAAATGAAAAACATTTCATCAGTAATGTTTCTATGATTTTATGTTGGAACAAATGCATAAACAAAGACAGCATTAAAATAAATTTTTAAAAAAAATTTCTCTGCTAGAAAAATTAGTTACACATGTAGCTTGCATTATATTTCTACCAGGCAGGGCTAATCTCCATGATTCTCTCTGTTGATCCATTTTAAATGCATCCTCTTTAAAACCAAGTGCTTACTTTTAATTTTACTAACCATTGTACCTATTTTATTCAATTCTATAGAACAGGTGTTGAGTGTCAAAGAAGTGTGGACAAAAGGAAGATGAAAAAGACACATCCTTTCCTACTCTCCAGATAGTCACAGCAGAGGCTGAAAGAAAAAAAAAAAAATACCTGTAATTACTGACAGATTGTGGTTAGTTTAAGAGCACAGAATGGAGAGACCACATTCAGGTAGGAGACTGGGAAAAGGGGCTTAGTTCTTGAAGATTATATGGATTTCAAAAAGCAGAGAATGTTAGTAGAGGAATTTCAGGTGGACTATGCTAAGAAGTTTGGATTTTATCCTACAGGTGATAAAGTGGCACTGAAAAATAGAGTACAAGAGTGATATCAGAGTTGTGGTTTAAAAAAAAAAAAAGATTGTCTTAGCAACGTTTTGTAGGAACTGATTCAAAACTCAAAAAATTACTCATGAAAGGTGTATACTAACAGGAACCACAAGGTGGAGATGTATAACTGTCTGCCTCCTAATGGAGAACATGCACAATAAACAATTTTAAATAAAAAATTACACTGCCATCAAAATCTCAAAACATAGGTTAGTTGGCATTAATTGTTTACATGTTCTCAAGCATGAAAGACAATGTACATGTTTGCAAGTATCTTTTTACCTTCCCTGAATGATTTGGTATCTTATTATAATAAGCAACTGAATGAAGGCACATAAGTCACAGAACCAATGCCGATCCACTCAGTGCAGTGCGGTTCTCCTTTCAAATCTAGCTATGTTCAGGGATGAGAGGATCCTATGAGACTGGTGGGAGGAGGTGGACAGTATCAGATATTAAAGTGCAATTATGATAATGGAAATATGAAAGTCTCGGAGGTAGTCAAGTGGAAAAAAGGAAAAATGAATGAACAAATAATGGTGTGAAATAAATACTTACAAAAGAAAACTGTTTTCTCTTATAATAATTCTATAAAATAAGTTTCCAGAAACTTTTAATTAGAGTAAAAGGATTACTTTCTAGTAGAATTTTCTCTGGAACAATACCCTGCTTGTAGGAGTATTTAATAAACATGTGATGTCAGAGATGTGTAGCAAATGTGCCCAAACATTACAGTTTATATATCATCTGTTGCAAAAAAGAAAAAATTTAAGGAGCTCGGAGTGTTAAAATTGGCAGATACATGTGCCACACTGTGTCCTGGGACAAGCTTCAAGTTTTCCCTCAAGAGTGTACTTGGATCTCCTTTTAACACCCTCTATCTAGTCCCTTTTTTCTTTTACATTCATGTCACCTGCAGAGACTGGAAGGATGCACTGCTGAGCACATCTGCTCTCTTTATCCATTGCTTAAAGGGGGTAAGGAAGATCTCAGGAACCTCTGTGGAACTACTTTCAGCCAGCTGTACTGACAGAGGGAAGCTCTTGTCCAGGCAGACGTTCATCTGCCTGGGCAAGGAACTTGTGTCGTTCTTTCCATTAACTCAAAGGAAACATGAAATAGGAGTGGTTTTCTTTACCTGGTATCACCTGCCTGGCATGAAAAAGTTAGAAGCAATTCTAGGTTAGCATTGTGAACACAGGTGGGCCTGAGCCTGCCTAAAGCCTCCTAAAACATCAAGATCAGTATTGTTGGGGGATGGGGAAGGAGTATCAGTGACCAAGTTGGATTTTTTCCTTTTAGGGTTCTCATAACTATTCAGCTTTCAAACACATGACATTTAAAAGCAAGGGAGTAAGTACTATTTCTTTCTTTTTTTTTTTAAGATTTATTTCTTTATGCATAAAGAACTGGGTACAGGCCAGACGTGTAGGGGTGGTGAGAGGATTCACCAGAGACAGAGTGGGGAGCAGAACAGGCAGATCATTGAAGTACACTGCTGAGGGGAGCAGTGGGTGGGTCAGGAGAGGTCTGCCCAGCCATGTGGGTCACCTCCGGGACAGGTGGGGATTGAACTCATGCGGCAGTGGCTTTAGCTTCTTAGTGCTGTGCTTTAACCTGCTATGCCATCAGGGAGGGCCCAAGTACTATTTCTTTTTGATTCTGTTTATATTAACTCTCTTTTCACAAATAAATGATCATTTCCATATATAATTTTCATAATACACCAAAATCTCTAATGTAGTAGCCTTTGGGGAAATGTTATCACTCAATCTCACATGGATGGAATAGATTTAATAATCAAAATGTAACTGGGTTTTCAATATGCTTTTATTGTATTTCCAATGTATGCCCTACAGATATAGTAAGACAGAAGATACTTTTGATCTTACGCACTGGTAACAACTCAAGAGAGGTGAAGGAATTTGGAACTTTCAGAGACACTGAGGAGGTGAGGAAAGGAAGGTCAGGAGGTTCTGCTCAACCCAGGAGAAAGACCAGCAGAGAGATGGTTGACTGCAGGTAATTCAGACTCAAAATCTGTCTGATTTAGGATGCCTGGATAGTTTAGAAAAGAGTAGTTTTCACTTGAACTTGAGGAGTACCCACAAAAGAAACTTCAAGAAACATTTGGGAAATAACATGGTGATTTGAAGCTAAAATGTTAGATTCTGGCCCTAAAGGTACTTAAAAATAGAAAATTAAGCTTATTTTATTAATTTTTTCATCTGTAAAATGATAATAGTACTATTCCTACTGCACAACTTTGCTTCATAAATGATGCGCAGATATTTTAGGTAACGTGAGTACATACAGAAGACTCAAGAGTGTTAAGAAAAATGACTCTCATAAGCATGAGGTGGTAGCAGGCAGAGATGATAGGGAAAGAGACTTGGTCATGACTAAGCCCACCCAACGTGTGAATGTGTATGATCTGAACAGGGTCATATGAAAGCATATATTTGCCACCTTTGTACAAGGTGGTTATGTGTACTTGAAAAAGCTAGGTTAGCATGTGGTGTTGGAGAGGACACTGAGGGGAAACTGGTATTAGGAAGGAAAACACAGGAGGTGAGAGAACAAAAGCCAGGCTCTTCCAGAAAGCTGTCTGAAAGTTACACAAAGGAACAAAGAAGCCAGAACCATCTATGGAAATGCGACTTTGGGCTTACACTTAATCACAGATTCCCAGCCCTACTTCTGGTTTCTTGTCCTTCTTTCTCTTGAAGAAATCTTCTTTGAGAACTAATGAGCATTCATATCAAGACTTAAGAGAATGGGAGGCATATTAATAAGCAACTACAGGAGACAGACAATGCCAAGAATGTAACAGTCATAATGCATCTTATGGTGTCACTGCTCGAAAAGCTCCATGATTCGCTGTTGCCTTCAGGATAAAATCAAGTCACCTATTCCTGCTTTCAAAGCCTTTTAAAATTCAGCCCCATCTATTCCTCTTGCCTCTGTCCTATGTTCCCTACCTACCCTCCGGCAGTCCTTTGTCATCACACATTTCCTATCTGTAATGTCACTGTGACCTTAAAC